TATATTCCAGTATTTTTGTTTAACATATTAACTCACGAGAAAATGTTCGTACATTTATCATCTACTATTAATTATTTTTTGATGATTGGTCTAAAACATTCAATACAACCATTAAAAAGTAGTTCCCATCGTCGGGTATCGAACTCCCGATCACCTATTGCCCGCACCTTATCAAAATGTGAGGCGCCTCAGTCAACTAGGCTATCACAGATCGGCGACGGCATGAGAAAAAATAGCATTTAAAAGACTCGGACGATGGGCGGGACTTATCACAAGAGTTGTCCTTGAGCGATTCGGCGATTCGCGTCTTCGTAGCTTCTGGAGAAACGAGCTAAGCGCCTTTCTCTGTGAGACATTGTTTGCCTATGCTATCATGTGTCTCAAGGTTCATATCAGCAGGCATTTGCCATAGCGGCAGTAAGCTCAGGCAATATTTCTGTATTCATGGAATAAATCAATCAATCGAGTTCCGATTTTGGCTCTAAATCCGTAACGGGTCCTCCAGAGCAGTTTTCCACTTTGCACAATAGTTATAATTTCTTTATTTCTATGTTTAAAATTTGAGGTGGGATAATGGCGGCTTCTTAAGAGCAACGAAGTAGGCGATCTCTTGCACCAACGAACAGAAAACTGATGGCGAAAAATAGCCAATGAAAACCTCCCAAAAAAAAAGAATTTGCCTAAAAACGGAACTTCGTGGTTCTGCGCAGATTTACCAGTCAGACACGACATCTCAAAGTGGAAAAAAACTCGCTGAAAGCGAATTTTAGCAATCAACACAACTTGACGTAGAGACATGATTGGCTAAAAAATACAACGGTTTTTGATACATCGGAAAATCAACCAAAAATCGGAGACTGGGCGAAACGCTCAAGGTCGCAGAGGTATAGGGAATCCCATAGCGAAAGCAAAGGAACGATTGTAATATCATGGGGAACTCCGTTCCCATGACAATACAGGGTGTTTCAGACCACCCGTACCAGGCCTTTTTCTCGGTTGGTTTAGGTCGTACGAAGTCGGAGACCGCGGGGTTGAATAGGGAATTGACCCCAAGGAATCCGAATTTCGTGGTCCCGAAACCCCCCCATCCCCCCTTGGGGAGTAAAGGGGGGGTCACGATGCTAAAAGTCACGGTTCCCGATCGAATTGCGGATAGATCGCATCAGAATTGAAAAGCACGGAAAATTTCACGTGAAATTGACCCCTAAAAATCCAAAATCGGACCATCCAAGGCCCAAAAATGACCCCCTAAAGAGGGGGACAGTACCCCCCTCCATAATTTCTCTTTGGTCTCAAAATTGACGTAAATTCTCCAGAAAAAGACGGTTTCCCAGGTAATCGACCCCGAGAAATCCAAATTTCATGGTCCCGAAGCTCCTCTAGCCCTTCTTGGGGGGTAAACGGGGGGGCCCAATTTTAAAAATCGGGGCTCCTTTCCGAATCGCAAATTGATTGCATCCAAATTGAGGAGCAGAACACATTTACATCTTAAGTGACTCCTAAGAGTTCTAATAGACCCCCTGAACGGCAGAAAGTAACTCCCTGAGGAGGGGGGCCTCGCCCCCCCCCAAAAATTTCTCAGGATTCCTCTTTGGTCGCAAAATTGACGTCGATTCTCCAGAAAAACACGGTTTCCTATGTAATCGACCCCGAGGAGCTCAGGGAACATGAAATTTAGTGTCCTCGGGGTCGATTACATAGGAAACCGTGTTTTTCTGGAGAATCGACGTCAATTTTGCGACCAAAGAGGAATCCTGAGAAATTTTTTGGGGGGGGGAGGCCCCCCTCCTCAGGGAGTTACTTTCTGCCGTTCAGGGGGTCTATTAGAACTCTTAGGAGTCACTTAAGATGTAAATGTGTTCTGCTCCTCAATTTGGATGCAATCAATTTGCGATTCGGAAAGGAGCCCCGATTTTTAAAATTGGGCCCCCCCGTTTACCCCCCAAGGGGGGCTAGAGGAGCTTCGGGACCATGAAATTTGGATTTCTCGGGGTCGATTACCTGGGAAACCGTCTTTTTCTGGAGAATTTACGTCAATTTTGAGACCAAAGAGAAATTATGGAGGGGGGTACTGTCCCCCTCTTTAGGGGGTCATTTTTGGGCCTTGGATGGTCCGATTTTGGATTTTTAGGGGTCAATTTCACGTGAAATTTTCCGTGCTTTTCAATTCTGATGCGATCTATCCGCAATTCGATCGGGAACCGTGACTTTTAGCATCGTGACCCCCCCTTTACTCCCCAAGGGGGGATGGGGGGGTTTCGGGACCACGAAATTCGGATTCCTTGGGGTCAATTCCCTATTCAACCCCGCGGTCTCCGACTTCGTACGACCTAAACCAACCGAGAAAAAGGCCTGGTACGGGTGGTCTGAAACACCCTGTATTACATCGATTAATTCGTGGCCAAAACTGTTGAGAAGAAATCAGAGGAAGGGCATGAAGGTTGGACGGAGATGAGAGACTACCTGAGCCGAGCCGGTGCGGAGGAGTCTCGGACCCGCACAAGGGGCTTCGGTTGGGGTCTAAACGGGATTTCACAATCCACGCGGGGTTTGGGAATATGCGGCCGGGAAGCCGGGCTGCGAGGAGCCAGCCGAAGATTCAACCCGTGCAGGCGCGGGGGCCCACGATGCGGGGGGGGGGGGGGGGGAAGGACCGCGGCCCAGAGGCTCGCTCGCATACGCACCGTGTAGAAGGAAGTCGCCGTAAGAACTCGTGTTATTTAATCTTTCATAAGGCCCATGTAATTTTTGAGTTCAAATCCCTATTTCCCTACTACTGATCTTAACTTCTTCTTCGCTGTGGCTCTGCGAAATGTGTGACTCGTTTCTGTCGTCCCCGACTACCCCTTTACATGACGGCGAGCTAATTATCGAAATTTATAGACAAAGTTATAGACAAAGAAGACATAAGGAGTAAAGAGCGATCATATTGCTTGAAATGGGTGGTTCATATAGACTAAGGGGGTAAATGATGGACTAACTATCGGGTCTCTCGTGGGTTGCCGTTAGTTAGTCTATCACCTACGTCCTTTGTTCATTGCAACCACCCGCTTCCACCAATAGGATCCCTCCAAAACCTTTTTGTCTTCTTTGTCTATTGATTCGTCTATCAATTTCAATAATCAGCCCGCAGTGGACCAACTGCATGATCTCCTGTGTCAACAGATCGTGTCTCGGGGCTACGAGGCGCTGTTCTCCTCGTGCTGGTACCTGGACCACCTGAGCGAGACGTGGCGGAGCTACTACCACTGCGACATCCTGGACTTCGACGCGACGTCGGAGGAGCGGACGCTGGTCATCGGCGGGGAGGCCTGCATGTGGGGCGAGTGGGTGGACGAGACGAACGTGTCGCCGCGGATCTGGCCGCGAGCCTGCGCCCCGGCCGAGCGTCTCTGGAGCTACGGAAGCCGCTTCCCCCACCCGGACACAGCCGCCCGCCTCGAGGAGCACGCCTGCCGCCTCAAACGCAGGGGCATCCCTACCGCCCCGCCCAACGGACCCGGCTACTGCCCGCTTCTGTAAAGACATTCGAATAAACACGTTTTTTGTACTTTTTATCAAATTCATTTCGTGACCCGGAAAGTTTCAGAGGCAACCAGTGTTCGAAACTCACCATTGGGTTTCAGGAGCCATGCGGCGAATCAAGCTCGATTTTTAGGGGCCATTGAAGGTTTTTTAGGGGCCGGATTGACTTATTGCCTATGTATCACGGCGCATTTAGTGAAAAGTTAGACGCAAGATGGTTTAGTCACGGAACTAGTAGCTGTAACTTGGGGGAAATTTCGTTCTTATAGACTGAGGGAGAAAATGATGGACTAACTAATGGGTTTCTTGAGGGTTGCCGTTAGTTAGCCTATTACCTACTTACTTTGTCCATTTCGACCACCTTCTTCCACCAATAGGATGCCTTCATATCCTTTTTGTCCTATTTGTCTATCGCTTTGTCTAAGAATTTCAACAATCAGCCCGCTGCTAAATGGCACTAGAGATGAGTGGGAAATATGGGATTTGAAAATTCGAAAATTTGGGTGACCACAGCACCAAATGGGGAACCTCTAGAAAAGAAAATCTGTAAGTTGGAAAAATCCCTTTTTTAAGTATGGATAATTCTACTTTTTACTCATAGAGAACGCACCTGCACGGGGAAAAGTTTGGTAATTTTACACATATTCCGGTTGATTATGGTTGATTCAACCACATTTCTGGCTAACTCAACCATACCCCTGAATTGCGCATTACAACTTCAAGCAGGCGCCGAAATTGGACGCATATCTGCTGGACGAAACTAGAGACGTGTGGGACAGATGAGGTGTGCTTGTGGTAAGCTGCATAAGAAAAAATGTACAATTGGGTGTGATTCCTTTGGGGGGAATAGACATATTTTAACTTTCACAACCTAAAATGTTGACGTACATTAGGTATGCTAAAAGGGAAATAAAAAAACTATTTTTGTTAAATGTATCATAAAATTTATTTGGATCTTGATCTGTAAAATGTAAAGGTCACAAATACATAAAAAAAGGAACAGGTTAACTTATTTACTCTCCGGACGGCTTTCAAACTGGTTCGGCATTATTTGTATTGTGAGATTAATCTTATTTGTTCAATGAGTTAGAGCCGAAACGCATGCTGTAAGCTTCATTAAAAACTTATTTTTTGTGTCGAATTCAAGAGCAGCACGCAGATTACCATACTCTGGCTACCTATGATTGTACTCTGCACTTGAGGTTAAAAATAACCGTAAATCATAATTGATGCGTTGTTACTGCAAATGCGTCTTTTTTAACCGCTTTAAAACTTTTGATTCACTCGTAGATGCTAACATTCTTATTTTTTAATGTCTTTCATGCAATTTTTAACGGTATAAAAAAATCAGTTCACAATAAGACCGAGTTTAGCAGAAAAGAACTTTCCGTAGAGTTCATAATGTAAAAAATAAACTTTAAATCCCTTTTTTCACAAACTATTTTTTTTCGACTTTGAATTTTTAGCGGGAGAAAATGTACAACTAAAGGAGCTCAAAAACACTCTTAACTCAATTTTTTCGAAAATGCAAGTTGGTTCCTTTCGGATGAACCCAATCCAACTGATGCATCCATTTTCTTTGAATCATCCCAAGCATCCCATAATATCACAGACTTTGCGTGACAATTATTATTTTGACTTCGTTTTTGGCGAGAAAAGATATACAAGTCAGTGGCGTGGAGTGAATTGCGATATATCGATTGTTATGTCATTTAAACCTATGGAAAAGGATCGATAAACAGGGTGTTCGCAGCGAACACCTTAATAATTGATTCTTTACCATAGGTTTAAATGGCAGAACAATCGATATATAGCAAAGCACGCCACGCCACTGATACAAGTAGTGGAACTGGACTCCAATGGAACTCAAAAACATTCTTAACTCTATGTTTTCGAAAATCCGGGTTGGTTCCATCCGATAAACTCGATCAAACTGATGCAGGCATTCATTCTCTTTGAATCATCCCAAGCATCCCGTAATATCACACAGGCTCAACCCCCCATCAAAGCGCCGCAGACACAAATCAACAAAAGATTCGCCACACGTGATGAGAATCTCCGTCTCATTTCGTCTCTTAGTGTTGACGATGTCGCAGACCTTCGTCTTCGTCTTCAACCAGACTGCTCTCAACAGTCCTGTCCTCTCGATTGTAACTCTCGCATGGACCCCAACTACCTCCATCGCGACCTTTTCGGAGCTTTTCGCGGCCCGCAGCAGCGTCGAGTTTTTCATCCAAGCTACTCCGCTCAACATTTGTCCCACGTAGTCGCCAAGCGCCGTCGAACACACCTCGTCGTGGGGGTTGAAGAACACGCCCGCTTGGCGGATGTACTTGGAAATCGTCTCCCGGGCCTCCTCGAAGTTGCCAGTCGTGAAGGCGTGGATGAAGTCCCTGTATTCGGGAACCTCGATGGGCGGGCCGCGTGTGGTGAGTGCCTCAGCGTTGTCGTAGCGCGGGTAGTTCACTGCGAGTCCTATGAACCGGCGGCTCCAATCCGTCTCGTAGAGGATGTCTCTGAGGAGAGTTTTCACCTGAATGTGAAAAAATAAGCATTGCTCTGCGTTAGTTGGTTCATGCATTGGAAACGAGGAGGAATTGGACGTAAATCTATCAAACGGAACTACGTGCATTACGACGTGAGCCCTGTTGTACATGTATTCTTATGGGTCTCAGGGCTCATTTCTTAATGCACATAGTTCCGTTTGACAGAAATACGTCCAATTGGTGAGGGTTGAATGGGTCACTAAACCTTGCGTTTTGCATTTCATATTGGCCACACTGGAAAAAAAACACATTGGATCTAGAGTCCAGACTGTTGAAAACATTGATAAGAAAAAAAACACTTGATTCAAAATCATGAGTTGAAGAACGCCGACTTTACGAGTTTAAATATTAGAGCCTAACACAGAGCGAAATGCGCACTGGCGCCTACAAACCTAACGGGATACTTCACGCGTTGCGCAATGCGTGAAGTGTCCTTGTTAGGTTTGTAGGCGCCTATGCGCGTGTCACGCTGGTCGCCCGCCGAGCCACGGAGTGCTACGGCGCGCGGCGTTTCAAGCAACTATTTTGCGACATAGGTGTTGCACAGTATCATACGAGATTGAAGGCGCTCCAACGTATCAAGAATGACAAGCTTCCTTTAGCTTCCTTACAGAGCTTTCCTTGCAAAATAAATCAAGATACTACGTTACAAAAAGAGAGCGGTAATCTAAAAAACTCACTTAGTCCTAGTATCCGTATTTACTAACGTTTAGCATAATTTTTGAATTTCATTAGAAAAAAATGTGACTCGATTTAAGCAGAAGCATTCTTGAGTATACCGTCAAGAAGATTTTATTTTGAATCAAGAATAAAAAAACTGAATGAAAGCTGGTTTCTGCTTGATCTAAGTGACTTTTCTTCTTATTTAAGAATTCTTTTTTCTCTAAATAGGCATTATTTTCTTTATTGATTTATAAGGAAATCTTCTCGGCGGTAAATTTGAGCATATTTCTGCTTCAATCAAGTCACTTTTTTCCCTAAATAAGTTAAAAAATCATGCTAAACGTCACTGGATCTAGATACTAGGACTTAGCAAGTTTTTCGACCACAGCTCTGTTTTCTTCGTTGTCACTCGATTTAATTTGCGAGGGAACTTCGTGCTTTTGAAAGATGCCATCAATCATACTGTGCAACACCTTCATGGTGAAATAGTAGTTTGAAACGCCGCCGCACGCCGGCGCCGTCGCGATGTTATCGTGCACAGGAAAAATCTAAGAGCCTTTAGCTGAGGAAAATCAAACGGTTCATTCGGTTCAGGCATAAGAAGGTGGGATTTTCTTGAAAGATGATTAAGTCCTGTTGCACCAAAGAGGTGTAGAGAGTTTTAGTGAATTTTCCCTCATGAAATTGACGCCAAAATCTCAATTATATGTTTGTTTCCGTTTTGCCAACCATACAAACAAAAAGAGAGCAAACCCTCATTCTATCAAGAATTTATACATTTCATCCAAAAACGTCGTGAGCAAATATTGTTATTATTTACATGTTGACCAATTAACTTCGGGTCTCAGTAATTGGTAAATGACCAAAACTCCCCTGCAGAAAAAACGCGTGGACTTTAACTACTGGAAAAAACAAGTGCTTGGACAAAAAATCGTTGACGAAATGTCCTATAACCTTCAGTAGAGTAGATATGTATGTTTGACACCAGCTGTTGTCAGATTGTGCAAATAAATACA